AAATAAATAAATAAATAAAAATTTAAAAAAAAAGAAAGTGGAAACCAAAGAAGGTAGCAGGCAGACCCCAAGCACAAACACTCTGCTCACTGTGCCCTACACCCATTGTCAGAGGGCAGTGAAGGTCAGGAAAGGCAAAATGAGATCATCCTACTTCTGGGAACCCAGAAATCCACAGGAGCTAAACAGAAAAGGGAGAGTGCCCCACACTCCTCCCCTGGGTCTGTCCCGAAGCGCCCTAGCCACACAGCAAATCCTGCCTCCAGGCACACTTTGAACCTCTGGGACTCCCCTCTCCTCTTTGCCTCCACAGCCCCTTACCACTGTCCCTTCTCCATTTCTCACACACGCTCTTACGCAGCCCACCTACTTGTTGTAGCTGTTCCAGTAGAGTTCAATGTTGTCCAGGTTGGGTGCATGCATCACAATATTTCTATACTTTTGTATCAACTCAGAATTTCCTGACAGCTCTTCCTAAAGAGGAGACAAATTAGGGTTGGGAAGGAAAGCCAACAATTACTGGATAAAAAGAGGCAAGCTTTCTTCCCTGCCCAGATCCCACCCAGCTAAGGAAATCACCCCAAGCATTCAAGTCCCTGCTGGTTCCTCTACGCCTTCCATCCTCCATAACTTCGTACCTGGCTGAAAAGATGTCCCAAGATCATCTCTGGGATGGAAGAGGTAAGGCCTGTTAACTAAGAGAAGAGGGCAGGGAGGCAGTTTCAGGACTTGATGAGAAGAAGAGACAGAGACCCAGGCAAAGACATACAGCTTCTCTTTCCTGCCCCACCATCTACTCTCTGAAGTTCAGGTGCACTGAGTTACACAGTAGAGTCTACCTTGACCCACCTGACGGAAGTCCCACCCTAGCTCTCAAACACAGGGTCCTCCAAACCTTGTGGGCTGCCCAGTCCATCCAGCCCTTGGCATTGGGATCGATGTTGATGAGAACAAGACCTTCAACCGTGTCTGGGTGGGTGAGCTGTGGGGCAGCAGAAGAAAGGTGGTCAGAAAGTAGGCGTGGCCTTGTCCTCCCCCACTGCACTCTACTCACCTCAGGGCTCCCACAGGGCCTGACTCCTCACCCTCATCTCCTCTTCTTCCAGCCCCCACCCCACTGTACACACACTAATGAGCAAAATCCTCCACAGCTGGGACCCTCTTTTACCCCATCTCGAAGATTGTATTTCTTACAGCAAATCGCGACAGGATATAAGCTCCAGCTCCAACACCAACTCCAATTATTGAAGAAAAACTATAAAAGGGAAATATGTCTCATGAGTGTTGGTATTTAAAACCTATCACAGCCCAATCTCTTCAAAGTTCCTACCCTCCTCCCTCAGGCCACAGGCACAAAGGACAGCACTGCACCTTCCTTAAGTAAATAAGATAACAAGGTGCTAAAGGTTGGCACTGGGAGTCAGTGGGGATCCCTGCTGTCCAGCCCCAGCTTCCTCTTGGGGAGCTACTGCCTTGGCCTATCAACCAGACACTCCTTTCCCATACACACAGCTCTCTGTCTACCCACTTTCAGCTGCCAGGTGCTCATTTAACTTGTTCTGCTTCTTGGTTCCTCTAGAGGAACAGAAGAACAGAACTCAATGCAAGATAGGAAAACAGACCCAAGAAGAATGGGGAAACAGAGGCAAGGAAGTGAACTACAGCTGCTGAGCACCAGGAAAAACCAAGCCTAGCGCAGGGCCCAGCAGCGGTGCCTTCCTCCACATACCAGAGCCTCCTGCAGCCTTGTCTTCCTTCTCCCGCTCTCCCTGACACACAGAGCACCCAGGTCACCAGGTGTGTGTCTGGAGGAGGGGGAGTAGGCAGGAAAGAGACAAGTCCATCTGGTTCCCAGGGAGTAGGCCACTGCCACTTCTTCCTGTCTAGCATCTAGATCGGAGAAACCAGTCCTCAAGCCTGCAGCAGGGCCTCGCACACCTTTCCTTTTCCTTCCCTCTGTCTATTACAGCTGCTCCACTGATTCTAGTCAGTTTTCCAAATCCAACACCCTTCGTTTCAACACTCAGGGTGGAACCATGGAGGAGAAAGAAAATATCAAAGACAAGCCAGCCAAGGTGGCTCACACTTGTAATCCTAACATCTAGGAGGCTGAGGCAGGAGAATCACTGTGAGTTTGAGGTTGACGTGGGACACATGATGAGTTCAAGGTCAGCCTGAACTGTATAACAAGACCCTATCTCAATAAAAGAAAATGTCAAGGACAGTGACCAAAACCAGCCCAAGAACCATGGAGGTCACAGGAGCTACATAGAGCTCCTGTCCTGAAAAGAAAACTCTAGGTTGCAAAGGTCCCCAGGTCTCTCACTTTAAGTACTGCAAGATGCAAGGGATCATGTCTGCAAGCTGGTCCAGAGATGGGTACTGGTATCTAGAAAGAGAGCAATGTCAAGATACCACATGGGGTTCAGAGCCCTTAGACCACCAGGTGCTCTCTGTATTTTCTCCCAGAATCTCCTCTGCCTTCCCTTTCCTCCTCCCTGGGTCCCTCTGCCCAGCACATTCCCTGGGCCTCCACATCTGGTGAAGGGTAAGGAGTTAATTCTCACCCCACAGGGAACACAGGGGCCCCTTCTTCCATTCCAGGGGCATCCACATGAACCCGCACGAAGTTCTGAATGATTTCCTGCATGTCCCCAAACTGAAACAGCGGCTGGAAGCAAGATTTATCTAAAGAGAACCCACATCACCCCAACAACAAAATCAGAGAGGTAAAAGTATCCCCATATCAGAACCCACCCTCTTGTCTTAAAGCCAGTCAGTTTAGGAGAGACCTTCAGTTTCACATACTACTGGGCATCTGATCCTGCCCTGCCTGCCCATCTGACCATGCCCTGGCCTGAGCTTTATCCTTCCCTGCCCAGCCTCTTCACAGAAAGGAAGTGGGGTAGGGAAAATGAAGGTCCTTACAATTGAGTCCCACATCATGGTAGGTGAATATTGCTGGGCGTTTGGGCTTGGGGGTGCCGTAGACAGTAAAGGTGACAGAGCCATAAGGTGTCTCCACGGAGTGAGTCTGTAAGAAGACAGATCACCATCAGGGAAAAGTTATGCCCGGGAATAAAAGGCCAGAGAAGGGACTACACAGTCAAGAGAGATGGGGGGGGGTGACTTAAAAATAGGATCACAGCAAGAATTTTAAGACATGACAGTGGAAGATGGGTAGAAAACAATAAAAGATTGGCTGATATTACAGAACTCTGGGGAAGGGAAAATGGAGAGGTGGGGAAAAGACAGACAAGAAAGAGCCAAGTAGAGATCTCTCAATACTGGAAGAGAGAAGAGGCCCCTCCCCCACAGCCCCCCCTCCCCCATTACCTGTCCCTGGTCCAGGAGGATTCGAGCTGCTAACTCAGCCTCCTAAAGAGACACACACAGAGATAGACACACACACACAGACACAACCACAAAGTCACAGATAGAAAGACCGACAAAGAAGAGAAGGTAGAGAACACAAACAGAAGCAGATTGACAAAAAGAGACATGAGAGGATGAAGGTTAGTGTAGTGACAAGACAAGGGTCTTGCATGGGACAAGAGATGGTAGACATGGAGAAAGTAGGGCTGTGCATCAAAATGAGCTGTGGGCTTGGGAAGCCAGGTGGCAAGGGGGATATTTGGAGGTCTGGGATTTGGGCAGGGAAACCAGAGGGTCTCCCCTAACCTTGGCAGCCTCTGGTGTCTGTCCTGGCAACAGTGGCCTCTCCTCCGTGATCTGGACCTCCTGTAATTCCGCCATGGTGGCCTGGCAGGGTAGGGAAATGAGATGCTTGGTTGCCGCCCACCTCCTCAAGCCCCAGGTTTCGCCTCTCAGCACCCTACAATGCAGGTACAGAGAAGTCTAGAAGTTAACCACACACAGAGGGCTCTTCCTGCCCCTGCTCCATTTGCAGGGAGGGGGAACAGAAGGAGGGGCCTGGCAAGAAGAATGAGAACACCAATGCTCCCCCAAGTCACCCACACCTCTGAACACCTTCTGCCCCTTACCCTGGACAGAAATACAGTACCAGTGTACTGGCAATGTGGCTCTGGTTTCCCAGGCTATATTTAGGGGATACCCCACACTCCCAGTTAGGCAGAGGATGAACAGGCTCAGTGACTGCGTACTCAAAGGAACCATGGGACAGGGTAGTGAGAGCTCACAATTGACTGTGACCTTCGACTAAATCCCCAAGGTCGGTAACTCAAAGAGAAAAGGGCTAAAAATGCCCAAGGCAATGGCCAATGTGGTAGAGATACAACAACAGAAGAAATAAGTACCCAACCCAGACAATGCCTCCCTCCTCCAGGACTTTTGGAGTCTCCCTCCCAAATGCAAATAAGTTTGCATACATTCAAGGTGCCGAGGGGCCCATTGGGACTGAATACTAGAGGAGACCTCCACAGGTGGAAGGCTGGGGCCGGGGGGTGGGGCCACTTACTGGGCTCCGATTGGCTGGATGCAGTGGGGTTTGGGTCAGGGTTCCCACTCCTATGACGCTGGAGAAAACACAGAAATGAGGTGAATGACACAGGGCACAGGAATGACACAGGAGACATGTCATTCATGGGTCTTTTAGGGACAGAAAGCCCCACCAACATTCCCCACGTCATTAACCCTCCTCAATCTCTACCCATAGTCCAGAGAAAAATCAATACCGGCTGGACGGGCCTGTGGGACAGCACAGAGCAGGATGGGGAAAGGGGGTGGCGAGAAGGAAGTGCTGATGTGGAAGAAGAGAGTGTGTCTGAAGCTCTGGATTCTAGCCCTGCCTCTGCCACTAACAGCGTGACCTTGGCCCTGCCCTGGGTCGCTATTCAATTTCCTTTCTGCAAATTAAAAGAGAGCGGTGGCCGAGAGACCCCAAGATTTTTGACAGCGCTCCACTGAAATGAGGACAGACAGCATGACTGCTTGCCTCTATCTTTTCAAAACAAACTGGAAGAGCCTCGTGCGTTAGCTTCCTCCTCCAGCCACTCCGCGGCGGTCCTCAAAAGGGGGGGCGGTCCCATAATCTCCCAGCTGCCCGGACGGCCGCGCCAGCTGGGAATGGATGGCAGGACCTCGGGGCCGGCTGGGCCCAGAACCCCGAACCTGTTCCTGCGAGCCCCCACGCCACCCTCCCGACCGAGGACCGACCCCCTCCGCGGCGCTGAGCCTCCTGGCGGGGACACAGAGTCGCGCCCAATCACTCGAACGCGCCCCGCACTCGCCGAGCCTCCGCCTTTGTGCGCGGAGCCGCGCGCCCCCTCTCCGCCGCCCCTGCCGGGTGATCCCTGCCCGCGCATCGAGCCCGCGGCCCTCCGCCCCTCCCCCTACCTGCCGCGCGGCCGCCGCCACCTTCACTCGCCTTTGACTCAGGCCGGCGCGGCTCGGGCTCCCCGCAGACCCGCCCCGGCCCGCTCAGCCCGCCCACGGCCCGCCGCTCCCGCAGGCCCGCCCCGGACCCCATGAGCACGCCCCTCGCCCCGCCCGCCGGGTAGCTGCTAGGGTTGCGCTAGGGGATCTGGGGGCCTTTGGGCAGCGGGGTGCTTCCAGCTGTGCCCATGCTCCCCGCCACACTCCCTAGGGGGAGGCCGGAGGTCGCAGAGAACCCCTGAACCCTGCTAGGTATCCCTGCGCCCCGCATGACACTACTTCTTCCCGTGACCTAGATCTGCCTGTGGCACTCTGGCCCCTTCCTCCGTCCCCAGACGCAGTGGTGGGGAATCGCAGAGGGGAGACGCCCAAGGTACTGGTACACCCCGCGATTCAACTCCCCCGGTCCGGAAACAGAATCTGGAGGAGGGCGAAGCCTCGCCCCGAGAGGCTGGGGTCTCGCCGGGCAGCCCCAAGTAGGCTTGGGGGACATTGAGGGCGCAGGAATTCTGACTCCCAGGCCCCCCTGTCCGGGTACCTCCTCTTTGCAGCGTCCAGACGCCTGCTTTCCGCCTGCTTCCAGAGAAGTTGGACAACAAGGGGGGGGGCGGGGAACGCGGGGGGCCGATATAAATAGAGGGCGACGAAAGGCGGGGGGGATAGCCCACAGGGACTCCCGGGTCAGGCCCCCACCCGGGAGTGTGCAGGGGAGGGGTCGGGGACCCCCCAAAGGGCTGACTCTCCTGGGTAAACAGGCGCGGGGCGGGGTTAGCCCTGAGGGGGTAGGGTAGGGGCTAGGGGAGGACGCTGTGTCCTGGGCTAGGACCCAAGAGACCCTGTGGCTTCCACACTAACCCCTCCCAGCTCGGCTCAAAAACAGAGGGTGAGACCGGCTCAGACTGGCTAGGTCGCCATGCCCAGGCGGCGGTGTCTCTCGTGGTGCCTAGGTGGGTTTGCCAACCTGGACTGCCAACACTGTTGCACCCCCCGTGATGACCCCAGCCTGTGCACCCCCCTTCCCCGGGAAGGGCCCCTGGAATGGGATCGTTGATGTTACAGCTAAGGAAATTCAAAGTTGTCTCAATCAAAAGGAAACCAGATCGAATTCCCTCCTACCTGCCCCCCTTCTAAGTACCCCCTCCTGGGATCATCCCCATCCCATCCCCCCTTCAGCTTGGTTCCTGAGTTGCCATTTAGGGGGCTGGGCTCCAGGCCAGTTGGGGACAATGGCCAATGGAACTCGAGCTGCCAACTGCAACACCAGCACAGATGGCTCCCCAAAGACCCCCAAATTGCCCTCCCTACTCCTGCCTGGGAACCACCCTCCCACTACCACCCGCAACCCCCTCCCATCCGAGGAACATCAATGCCCCTTTCATCCCCACTTGGCAGGTCTATTGGAAAGGAGGAGAGGCCAAAAGGGAGGAGGGGACCCAGAGTAGAACTGTGCATGTTCAAACCAACCCTTCAGCAACCCTAAATCTAGGGGATTTTTTTTGTATCCCCCAATCTGGAGCACCCACGTTTCCCTCTGTCCCCTTCTACTCCCTTTCTCCATAACTATTTCCCAAGAAACTGGCCCAGAGGCTGAGTGCTCTGGCTCCCAGCCTTTCCCCCTCACCTCTGGCTGTAGATTTAGCCCCCTCCTAGCCAAGGAAAAGCCTGCTGGAATTAGGATCCTGGCTACAGGTGCCTAGGATAGGAGAGACCAGCGGCCCCAGAAGAATTTGAGGGAGAAAAGAACCTAGAGGGAACTTTCGGCTGCCTGCTTCTCTGGTGTGTCTAACACAGTCTTACTTGGAGTGGGGGAGGGAAAGACCTGAAGGTTCCAGCATCTAAATTCGTCTGTGGGTCAGGATGACTCAGGGGGAACCTGATAAGGGGCCTTCGCAGGGGCTTGGGGCGCGCAGGGGGTGGGAAATTTCCACTGAGATCGCTTTGCTTCTTAGGCTGGGGGTCCCCTCAGCCTGCTGCAGACTGAAGTCAGGCTGGTTCTGTCTTCGGGTAGGATTCTTTCTTGTCAGGGCAGCTGGCACCCTTTCTCCCCAACCAGCGTTTCAAACTATACCTTTATCTAAACAGCAGTTGAAGCACCTGCTGTGTGTAATCCTCCGCACGTGAGGAAGTTTGAAGTCTGGCCACACACTCTCTAGATGTTTATGACCCAGTAGTCAAGGGAAGATATAAACACAGAAAAAGCGAGGGGAAGTTATATAAAAATCAGTTGTTTAGAGAATCAGTCCTGAAGCAGTAGTTTCCCACTCTTAGGTGAGACATCAGAGAGTTTCGGTCTCCACATAATGGTCTCCGTATTCCCCACAGAGAAAATATGGGGGCCGGGGAGATGGCTCAGTGGAATAAGCGCTTCCCTGGCAAGCAGAAGGACCTGAGTTCAATCCCCGGTTCTGCCAAAAAAAAAAAAAAAAGAAAGAAAGAAAGAAAGAAAGAAAGAAAGAAAGAAAGAAAGAAAGAAATTCAATGACTTCAAAGAATTTGCCTGTGTATGTAGCAGCACCTGTATATGCAAGGCACGTTATCTGCTCAGTCCTTTGTGTGCCTACAGATTGCAACGGTTGCTTGCGGTGCTTCAGGAGCTCCTGCCCCAGATGCTGCAGCCCACAGTTGAGGAGCCATTATCTAAATGTAATTCAGAGGAAAAGGCGTTTATTTCTAGGAGAAATACCTAAGGAAAAAAAAAGTGCAACCATGGGACATTTGAGTGGGAAAGGGGCATTCTTTTTTTTTTTTAATCTGATTTATTTTTAATTAAGTATTATGGTCACATACAAATTTGTGCTCATGTTGTACCTTCCTCACTTCAGTCCTTCTAATGAGCTGACAGGAAGCACCACTACCAATCACATATACAACAGTAAAAGTTTTAGTCTTGTTTTTGAATAGCTGTTTAAATACTGCCATGAACAGTAACTCAGTCTGACCTAAAGAAATCAACAGTAGAACTTGCTGTTATATCATGCTAACTCTTAAACGGATCTGAATTTACAGATCAACTATAAAATGTGAGAAATGTTAAATATTCTTTATTTGGTATTATACATACACCACACTAAAATTCCTTTCAATAAGTAAAAGACAACACTTTTTAGATATAGGGAATTCTAATTAAATTGGCATAGTCAAGACTAAAAATATTGCTTTCTTGTCTTCAACCACTCCCTTTAACAGGCTAATAAACACAAACTGAAACAGTGGAATCTTGCTTGGTTTTGAGACAATGAAAGATTCTCTCAGTATTTAAACATATTCACATAACCAGTTATATAAATCTAAATATAAAACCAACCTTCAGTAGTTTTGAGATGATATTCTCAATTTTTGTGAAAAGTTGAACATTACTAATCAAGTCCAACCATGTATTTAGAAGGGAAAATAGTGATAGTATTTACTGAACTGGAATTACTATCAAACCTTGAAGAAAAAAATGATATACATTTAACTACAAGCCAATTTATTTATTTATTTAACTACAAGCCAATTTTATTTATTTTTAATTTTTATTTATTTGTGTGTGTGTGTGTGTGTGTGTGTGTGTGTGTGTGTGTGT